CGGTAATGAGGAAAATAATCTTCCCAGCTGCCCGACACCAGAAATCTGTCAAGTCTTCTGCAGACTGCATTCTCTCTTAGATTAGACCAAGTGAAAGAAGTGTTGAGGAGGTTAGGATCCTGTAGATTTGTATCTTAGATAAAATCATTAAATTCTCGCATGCTTTTAGTCACTCTTCCGCCATTCGACTTTTCATCTGTAAAGCGGACCACGTTAAAATCACCTCCGAGACACCACTTATCGCCGCAATACCCGTACAGATCTGCCAATTCTTCCCAAAAACTATTTCTTTCCCTTTGTCTGCATGGACCATAAATCCCAGACTGCCACCATTCCGTCCCTATACTCTCAACAATTTTAATAGATACCGAGAATTCGCCAATCATAGAATCAATTACCGAAACGGCTTGGGAATTCCACAAAATTGCTATACCACCAGACCTTCCCATGGAAGGAGAGAAGACCCACTCCTTGAATCTTGACCCCCAAACACTTGCCACCAGTTGTCTGTCTACTACCTCATTTTCAGTTTCCAACATAATTACTATATCTGGTTTGAATCTCCGTAGATGCTCTTTTACTAGTAATCTTTTTCTTCGACTTCCCAAACCTCGAATATTCCAGCTAATTATCTTCATTAATGAGAAGTATAGTCCTTTATCTTCTCTTTACCTTTTCCAGTGCCCCTCGATCCCGAATCATCGTTGGAAATACAAAGCTTGCCATGTCTTCTATGAGCCAAGTTCTTCTTTAGGGGCATCAATGATATATCCATTTTGTGCAACAATGATTTAGGCAAGCTGTCTTTGCGTCCTTTACCTCTGCATTTTCCTCTTTTTCTGGAGTAGTACAGTACTTCAAGAATAGTCTCTGGAACAATAGTTTCATCTTCATAATCTTCTAATCCCATCTGCTCAACTGACTGGATATTGGTAGGATAACATCCTTCCACATACCCATTTGCACCGCTAATTATATCTGGAATGTCAAAAATCTCATGAAGAATTCCCTCTTCATTAACAAAAGCATATGTATTTTTCTTCTCCTCATTTGAAGAAATTTCATCAACGAATTCAGATTCTGATGATGGTATTTTGACCATTGAATCCACTGATGGCGGATCGATGAAATAGAGTCGTCATCTTCTCTGTCAGCAATTGGCTTTGAGGGGAGGGAACTGATCTGCAGCGAATCACCTGCACTTGAGAGTCGATCATGGATGTGAGACAGTCCCATTCTAAAGCCCCTGCTTCCTTCTCCATTTGCTCTACCGAATCTTGATAGAAATCTAGTTTTTGGCTTCAGCTTATCTGCAGTACACTCACTGTTTGGCTTGGAGTCAGATTTCTTATACTTTTCTATCCCACAAAAAGGGCCCAGTTCACTAAAAGACCTAGTTTTCAGAAAAGGCTTGGGCTCAGAGGAAAAACCACTAAAAGGGTTAAATTGGGCTGTGAATTGCGAATTGGGCTTGTCTTCAGTTGGGCCCAAAATCGCCTCAGTTTCTTTTGTGCCCTTATTAGGTAGATCTAAGATTTGACAAGGATGAATTAAATTCTTCGCCACTGGAGTAGAGAACCTCATTTATGTTGCCTCGAGCCCAGTCCTCCTGGGGATTATTGTCGGTCCTTTGGTGACTCTGACTTGTCAGGACTTCACCTTCAGCCGCGACCTGAACAATCCAGCTATCGGAAACTGTAGGTGGAGCCTGCCATGATATAATGAGCCGAATTGCCGAAGAAATTGGCCTGATCTTCACATAATAAGTTTTTGTATCTTCTGTAAGAGTCAAGATTTCTGGTAAAAAACCAGAGAGATTTCTTCTGGTTTTTATTTTTGCTTCGAATAGATACTTGTAATTTTCAGTCCGCTGGTCCACTTCTAGAAGTCCCCCACATTCCATGCCAATGCGCTGAAAGAATTTCTTGCTCCACCAGTGCATGGGAAGCCCAGTAATTCCAATCCAACCACCGTAACTGACTATTTTGGGGACATTATTTTTCAACCCGTGCTCCCAACTGTATAGCAAAACATCTTCCTGTCCCTCCACGGCCAGTTTTCCGCTGCTACTAACGGTCATCGCCTCTAATTTGCTGCTCGCAAGTGAAAAAAGCCCTATTAATTTGGTAGGGGAATAATTTTATATCTTTTTCCAGCCAACCTTTGAGATATCATCCCAGGATTGATGCAATACTTGCCTTTCACAGACCACCACCCAGCTCCAATTTGACATTTCGTCCGAGGTACCAGTCCCTTTTTCCTTCTCTTGTACAGCCTCCTCAGTTTGTACCGCCTCTCTGTAAGTCTTACCCGATATTCTGCCTCTGACTCTCAAATCTGTTTTAATAGCTTCTTCTGGGAATCGGTGGCTACTCATTCCGTTTCTCCCTGTTAAAATTCCTTCTAAATTCTCTTTGACCTGAATCCACCCATTGTCATGTCGACCCTTGGGGATCACCACAGACTTCACGATCCCATGTGCACACTTAGTCAGTCTCAAGTAGTATCCTTTCCAGTTATTAAGCTTCTCTACCCACACTTGGTAAGAATCCCCCATGTACCTTCTGAAGAAACTCTGTACTTTGTTAACCAGAAGTCCCTAAACCCTAGACTCCTCTTCCGTACAATAGAGACGTCGAGCAATAAGAGAATGCAGGAGGCAGCTCAAACCGTTGCTCAAACCATGGCTCAAACCATGGCCACTCAGAATGCTCAGATGAATGAGAGGTTTGATCGATTGCAGGCCAACAAAATGGCCAAAATGGAA